GGGGGAGAAGAAAAAACAAAAAAAGAATTAAAGGGACTATGAAAAAATAAAATACGGCTAAAGAAAAAACAATAAGTGAAATATACGAAAAGAACATTAATTTCGACGCCACTCACCTTCTGCAGCAGAAACTTTCGGTACCGACTCAAGACAGAGAAGGTTGATGAGGTGAGGGACACAGAGTGAATGTCTTCGCTTGTCACAGGATCGTTGTCCTTCTCACTCACTTGTCTCTCTGCCATGATCACTGCCCTGGGACAAGGTGGATGCCTTAATGCAATTTCTTTTGCTACGTTGGCTATATAAGTATTATACTAGAGGCGGTTTTTTTTGTGGTCTTTTAAAACAATGTTAACTACTTCAATTTTGCTTCGATTTTTCACCAAAAGATTCATAGGTGGAATAGAGGTGAGCGGTGAAGATGGAAATAGACGAACACATTGAATATTCGTATTGTTTTAATTTATCACTAATATACATTTTCCATGCCATGATTTAAAAAATACTTAATGACATGATATCTTTACACAAAGTATAAATTTGGGATGCTTTTCTTATGCAATAGTGCACAAGTGTATAATGCACTATTTCTGTGTGTTTAAGCTGATGTTACTTAAGTTATGCTACTTTACTGAAGATATGCATGTCATAGGTACTTATCATATCTTCTGAGACTTCTGTTATTATTTCACTTTTAACACATTCGAAATTCCCACATTCTTTTCGAGGTTCCTATTCACAGCATTTAAGGTTCCAAATAGACGACGGAATTGAGTTCTCCATTAGCGCTAATTTACAGACATCTACCGGAGCAAACGTTTATGAGAACCGTCCCAAGAATCTAAACAAGAAATCCAACTTGATCTATGAAAAAAATACCCCGAAGTTAAGCGATGTCGCCGGATCTGACGTGCTATGAACCTTGTAACGAGAATCCTTTTAAGCACAATAACGTATTATGCAGGCATACACTGTGTGGCTTTTTTACCACCTTGCCTTTCTCTCGACAAAGTATAAATAACGACCAAGAGCTCATTGATCTCCAACCAGAAGGCGTAAGAAATCTCAGCCCACCAACGAAACC